TTCCGCGCCCCCTGCTGCTGACGCTGCCACAGCAGGTCCCTTCAGCTGTCTCTGCTGCATTGCGAGTGACCTGGAGGGGGGCAGAACGGAAGGGAAGGTCAAGTGGGAGTGAGTGCAGGCCTTGAAAAAGGCACGGGCGAATCAAAGGGATGAGCGCAAGAGGGCAAGTTAGCAGAAAACGAGTGCAGCGGGAAAGAGAGGTACGAGGCTTACCTTGAGAGGCCAAGCCCATCCCGATACTCTCCCTTGCTGCAGTGGGATTGCCATGCTGCAGTGCTGCCTCCCTCCCGTCCCCACGAGTCCCTGCACGGCCACAGGGGAGGGGCGTGGGGAAGCGTCGGTGTTGACCCCAGCGCCCCTCCCCTCCACCTGCAATGCACACACACGGCGGTGGTCAGTATGCATGGCATGGGCACAACACAAGCCAGAGAGCGGAAGCTGCCAAATGTGGAAGAGAAAGGGAGGGCCACTGGTTGAGGCCAGGCCACACGCCACAGACGCCAAGGGAACCTGCACCTGAAGGGGGGACCTGCACCTGAGAGGGTTACCTGCACCTGAGGAGATACCTGAAGAGAGGGGGTCTGAGGCATGTAAACCAAGCTCATCCAGTGGCATTGTTTCAAAGGGAAGGGCGAAAGCACAACCGGCAAAGGAACTGGCAGCAAGAAAGCAACAAGCCATGATGTGGCGGGCAAGGGTGAGGGCATGGAGGAACTGTTACTTAGCTGATAGCGTGAGGGCGAGGTCAAGGCAGCTGCAGCACCACCAGCTGCCTCCCTCCGCAGCAGCCCTCCTCCAGGTGCCTCCTCCCTGCACGGCCACAGGGGAGGGGCGTGAGGGAGCGTCGGTGTTGACCCCACACCCCTCCCCGCCACCTGCAACGCGCACACACAGAGCTAGTCAGAGCGCGGTGGTGGGAGCAAGTCGAATGGGAGACTGTGATCTCAAATCCAGCACAAGGGAAGGGAGGAGGAGCCACTGGTTGATGCATGGCCACAAGCTGCAGACCCAAGGGCACCTGAAAAAAAACCTGAGGGGTGTACCTGCACCTGAGAGGGTTACCTGCAGAGTGGGGGTCTGTAGCATGCGAACCGTGCTCAACCAGTGGCATTGCTTCAAAAAGAGGGTGAAAAGCAGATGAAACGAACGAAACGATGCTGCAGGCAAGGGTGCAAGCATGGGGGAACAGGTACTTAGCTGATTGTGTGGGCAGGCAGTGGGGGTGCTTCATTGGAGAGTGGGCAGGGCGAGCGGGGCTTGAAGGGACGGACCTGCGAGGCAGAGAAGGGAGAAGGGAGAGAGAAACAAGGGGATAGTAAGAGGCAGGTGGGAGGGAGCGACTCATTCCAACGAGAAAACATTGGCAGCAGTGTGAGTGCAAAATGACAGTGCATGTGACGCCAAACACAACCCCACAAGAGCCGCTACCAACCTGAACCTGCACCTGAACCTGCACCTGAACCTGCACCTGAACCTGAGGGGGAGTGGGCTCGAGTGGGGTGTGGTGGCAGGGGCGATACTGCAACCTCAACCGTTGATGAGGCCGGCGCTGCTGCCCCGCTGCCCGCGCTCCTGCTGCCCGCCCTCCTGCTGCCCGCCCTGGTGCTTCCCTCGCCTGCTGCACTCCCTCTGAACAGTGAAGGCCTGGCAGGGAAGGGAGGGGAGGGGAGGGAGGGCGGAAAGGGAACGAGAGCAGAGAGTAAGAGGGGTTGTAATGGAGAAAACTGTCAAACACACGTGCAACAGCAGAAACGACAGTGCATGTGACGCCAACCACAACCCCACAAGAGCCGCTACCAACCTGAACCTGCACCTGAACCTGCACCTGAACCTGAACCTGAACCTGAACCTGAGGGGGAGTGGGCTCAAGTGGAGTGTGGTGGCAGGGGCGATACTGCAACCTCAACCGTTGATGAGGCCGGCGCTGCTGCCCCGCTGCCCGCGCTCCTGCTGCCCGCCCTGGTGCTCCCCTCGCCTGCTGCTCGCCTGCTGCACTCCCCCTGGCTTGTGAAGGCCTGGCAGGGAAGGGATGGGAGGGCAGCGATGGGAGGGAGGGCAGGGTGGAAAGGAAAGGCAGCCGAAAGTAAGAGGGGTTGCAATGGAGAAAAGTGTCAAACACACGTGCAACAGCAGAAACGACAGTGCATGTGACGCCAACCACAACCCCACAAGAGCCGCTACCAACCTGAACCTGCACCTGAACCTGAACCTGAACCTGAGGGGGAGTGGGCTCGAGTGGGGTGTGGTGGCAGGGGCGATACTGCAACCTCAACCGTTGATGAGGCCGGCGCTGCTGCCCCGCTGCCCGCGCTCCTGCTGCCCGCCCTGGTGCTCCCCTCGCCTGCTGCTCGCCTGCTGCACTCCCCCTGGCTTGTGAAGGCCTGGCAGGGAAGGGATGGGAGGGCAGGGAAGGGAGGGAGGACAGGGTGGAAAGGAAAGGCAGCCGAAAGTAAGAGGGGTTGCAATGGAGAAAAGTGTCAAACACACGTGCAACAGCAGAAACGACAGTGCATGTGACGCCAACCACAACCCCACAAGAGCCGCTACCAACCTGAACCTGCACCTGAACCTGAACCTGAACCTGAGGGGGAGTGGGCTCGAGTGGGGTGTGGTGGCAGGGGCGATACTGCAACCTCAACCGTTGATGAGGCCGGCGCTGCTGCCCCGCTGCCCGCGCTCCTGCTGCCCGCCCTGGTGCTCCCCTCGCCTGCTGCACTCCCCCTGGCTTGTGAAGGCCTGGCAGGGAAGGGATGGGAGGGCAGGGATGGGAGGGAGGGCAGGGTGGAAAGGAAAGGCAGCAGAGAGTAAGAGGGGTTGCAATGGAGAAAAGTGTCAAACACACGTGCAACAGCAGAAACGACAGTGCATGTGACGCCAACCACAACCCCACAAGAGCCGCTACCAACCTGAACCTGAACCTGCACCTGAACCTGAACCTGAACCTGAACCTGAGGGGGAGTGGGCTCGAGTGGGGTGTGGTGGCAGGGGCGATACTGCAACCTCAACCGTTGATGAGGCCGGCGCTGCTGCCCCGCTGCCCGCGCTCCTGCTGCCCGCCCTGGTGCTCCCCTCGCCTGCTGCTCGCCTGCTGCACTCCCCCTGGCTTGTGAAGGCCTGGCAGGGAAGGGATGGGAGGGCAGGGATGGGAGGGAGGGCAGGGTGGAAAGGAAAGGCAGCAGAGAGTAAGAGGGGTTGCAATGGAGAAAAGTGTCAAACACACGTGCAACAGCAGAAACGACAGTGCATGTGACGCCAACCACAACCCCACAAGAGCCGCTACCAACCTGAACCTGAACCTGCACCTGAACCTGAACCTGAACCTGAACCTGAGGGGGAGTGGGCTCGAGTGGGGTGTGGTGGCAGGGGCGATACTGCAACCTCAACCGTTGATGAGGCCGGCGCTGCTGCCCCGCTGCCCGCGCTCCTGCTGCCCGCCCTGGTGCTCCCCTCGCCTGCTGCTCGCCTGCTGCACTCCCCCTGGCTTGTGAAGGCCTGGCAGGGAAGGGATGGGAGGGCAGGGATGGGAGGGAGGGCAGGGTGGAAAGGAAAGGCAGCAGAGAGTAAGAGGGGTTGCAATGGAGAAAAGTGTCAAACACACGTGCAACAGCAGAAACGACAGTGCATGTGACGCCAACCACAACCCCACAAGAGCCGCTACCAACCTGAACCTGAACCTGCACCTGAACCTGAACCTGAACCTGAACCTGAGGGGGAGTGGGCTCGAGTGGGGTGTGGTGGCAGGGGCGATACTGCAACCTCAACCGTTGATGAGGCCGGCGCTGCTGCCCCGCTGCCCGCGCTCCTGCTGCCCGCCCTGGTGCTCCCCTCGCCTGCTGCTCGCCTGCTGCACTCCCCCTGGCTTGTGAAGGCCTGGCAGGGAAGGGATGGGAGGGCAGGGATGGGAGGGAGGGCAGGGTGGAAAGGAAAGGCAGCAGAGAGTAAGAGGGGTTGCAATGGAGAAAAGTGTCAAACACACGTGCAACAGCAGAAACGACAGTGCATGTGACGCCAACCACAACCCCACAAGAGCCGCTACCAACCTGAACCTGAACCTGAACCTGCACCTGAACCTGAACCTGAGGGGGAGTGGGCTCGAGTGGGGTGTGGTGGCAGGGGCGATACTGCAACCTCAACCGTTGATGAGGCCGGCGCTGCTGCCCCGCTGCCCCGCGCCCCTGCTGCCCGCCCTGGTGCTCCCCTCGCCTGCTGCTCGCCTGCTGCACTCCCCCTGGCTTGCGAAGACCTGGCAGGGAAGGGATGGGAGGGCAGGGATGGGAGCGAGGGCAGGGTGGAAAGGAAAGGCAGCCGAAGTAAGAGGGGTTGCAATGGAGAAAAGTGTCAAACACACGTGCAACAGCAGAAACGACAGTGCATGTGACGCCAACCACAACCCCACAAGAGCCGCTACCAACCTGAACCTGCACCTGCACCTGAACCTGAACCTGAACCTGAGGGGGAGTGGGCTCGAGTGGGGTGTGGTGGCAGGGGCGATACTGCAACCTCAACCGTTGATGAGGCCGGCGCTGCTGCCCCGCTGCCCGCGCTCCTGCTGCCCGCCCTGGTGCTCCCCTCGCCTGCTGCTCGCCTGCTGCCGTCCCCCTGGCTTGGGCTCGCCTGGCAGGAAAGGGATGGGAAGGCAGGGAGGGGAGGTAGGGGAGGGAACCGCCGTGAGGAATGAGGTGAAGGCAGCGGGGGAGGTGGGAGCGAGAGTGAGTTGTGGAATGGGCAGTGCAGCATGCGAGGCGGCAGGAACAACAGGCGAGACAAGGGAGGGGCCACTGGAGGAGGCACATCTACAAGACACAGACCCCCAGGGGAACCTGAGGGGGCTGTAAGGCTTTAGGGGGGCTGAACCTGTACCTGATGGGTTTACCTGCAATGAGGGGTGGGGGTCTGTTGCTTGTGAGGCGGGCCCCAACCAGTGGCGAGTATTTCAGGGAGACACGGCGAGCAGCAACGGTGGGCAGCAAGCGAGGGAGAGTGGAGGGAGGAGAAGGCACTTAGCTGGCGGTTGAAGAAGCTCCGAGCGCTGATGCCGCTGCAGCCGCAGCGGTCGACGACGATTTCGCCGTGCGATGACGCGCAGAGAGCGATTTCGCCATGCGTCGACGCGCAGAGAGCGATTTCGCCATGCGTCGACGCGCAGAGAGCGATTTCGCCATGCGTCGACGCGCAGACAGCGATTTCGCCGTGCGACGACGCGCAGAGAGCGATTTCGCCATGCGTCGACGCGCAGACAGCGATTTCGCCATGCGTCGACGCGCAGACAGCGATTTCGCCGTGGTACGACGCGATTTCGCCGAGGTACGTCGCGCGGACGACGATCTCGCTGTGGTACGTCGCGCGGGCGACGATCTCGCAGTGCGACAACGCGGGGACGATTTCGATAGCGTCGCCAGTAGCATCTGAACGTAGACAACGCAGGAAAAACGGGGAATGACGGTTACTAATGTGACATTATCGAGGTTCACGACGTGGTGCATCGAATGCAACTCAGAGGCTCGTAGCGATGAGAGAGCAACGGGGAAAGCGGTGGTAAAAGCAGCTGAGAGTCGTACCGAAGCATTCGCGGAAATCTTCAGGGAAGAGGCGACGAACGGTCGGCGGACGGTCGAATACCGAGTCGATTCTAGGAATACGGAATCGCGGCGCCACGGCAGCACGTGTTTGGTTGCGCGGGTGCATCTGACGTGGGTGAGACAGTAAGTGCGAATCGGGGAAGGAGCATATGAGCTGTGCGAAAGCTAAACGTGAAATCTCGTTGAGTGAAAACTAGAAATTGACGCTGAAATCTCGCCGCGTTGAAACATTACAGGAAGACTAACCTTGTCGGACGAACTATTCGGACAATATTGCGTCATCGTCGTCTCAACAGCACGGAGAAGACGAATCCCCGCCGGAAACGCTACCGTGGAGAACGCAGCGAGCGAGCGGAATCGCACGAAAAGCCAAATGCGAGAACAAATAGTCTCGAGAAAGGTAGAAATCATTGCCAGCGAGAGCAGACGTATCTCCAAAACTAGTCTCGAGCAAGAGAAACATGCGGAGAAAACGCGGTGAGAAGCTCTAGTCGAGAGGCTCTAGTCGAGAAGCATGGAGAAGTTTGGCGTTGGGAGAAATGAGAATGGGATTGAGTTGTGGCTGTTGGGTTGGTTGGCCCGTTCCGAACCCCTGAAACATAATCGGCACACTAGTTGGCCACATTGAGCACGGTTGAAATGGTTGCAAAGTGGTTTGAAATGCCTAAGTGCTCCCAGTTTTTGCTGGGAGTCACAGCAATGGTTCAGCACAGCCAGGGTTATCCCAACCAATCCCAGGTTGGGCCAAGCGGCAGAGGAGGAAGCACCGCCCACAAGATTCGCCCGCGAAATTCCGCGAGCGCGGAAGATTTTGAACAAACGGCCAAGTCACGAAAATCGATTACGACGGGCGAAATAGCACCGGCGACGTGATAGTTTTTTCGCTTCTGCGCTGCAAGCAGTCCTCTGTTCAAACGACAGATGTTGCGAAATACGTGGGTGTCGCCAAGAACGTCGAGGCTAACGGTTCCGGCAAGGACACCCGTCAAGTAGCGCGGGCTTGTGAATGCGCTCCCCCAAAAAGCCTGACACGAAGGAAAGAAGGCGCAGATTCAGGAGTTTTACGGAGCGCGGGGCTGCTGCTCCAACGGGATGCCTGCGGACGGCGCAATTTGGGGATATTTCGTGGAACAGCATGAAGCTTCTGATTCGTCATGATCCAACGGACGAACTGAACTAACGCAGAACGCATCAGATCACGCCTGAATAGATTTATAGATACTTTTGAGTAATCTTCGATATGACGGAATGATACACAATCAGCTAACCATAATATACAACTCCATCACCCTGAGAAACTTTCATTTATTTATCTCCCTGAGATCTGCACTTCTTGACTAGCTTCAATTAACTCTAAGCAGCACAAACTGAATATCACTGAGGCTTATCACCGTATCGTTTTATGGCACTGGTAGTGATTACTCACGCACCTTAGTCCCAGCACCAGAGTCCAGCAGTGAGGGCAAATCTCTCCACAGCAGCCGCCAAGCCATCATGGTCGTTTGTGCTCGACACATGGTCTGCCACTGCCTTGACCGAAGGGCCAGCATTTGCCATTGCCACACCCAAACCAACCATCTGGAGCATCTCAATGTCATTTTCACCTGCCATTACAAAAAGGAATATCAGCACTGAAATTAGCAAGTGACCCGCACAAAGAGGGTGAAGAGGCTGCAATTTAGCTTTTGCCATCAACTCACCATCTCCTGCCGCCATGACCTGCTGCGGGTGCAGACCCATAATGTCGAGCACAGTGGCAAGGCCTGTGGCCTTAGAAGCGCCAACTGGAAGCACTTCCAGCATGCCAGGCACTGATGTGATGAGCGACCCCCTGCCACCCAGCTCCGCGTCCAAACGAGGCCTTAGTGCTGCCAAGGTGTCATCGTCAGCCATGAGAATGAGCTGAAGGGTTCGTATGGAAGGGATGGGGATGTTGGAAAAAATTGTTAGGCAAGAATGGGTTATCACCTACATCATCCATTACATACGGTCGGGAAGCATGAAATTGGGGGAGAACGGAAGGCGAATTGGGGAAGAACGCAAGGGAACAGAGGAACACTTGAGTGGTGAGGGAGAGAGCAGTGACGCTGAGCAACACACCTTGTGAATGGATGTGATACCAATGAGGTCCTCAAGGGACCCAACGGCTTCGGGGATTGGCTCGCCATAGGGAATGAGACGATCAGTGTGCTCGTCCCTTTCTTCACACAATCTGGGGAACAAATTGGAAACATGGAAGCTCAATAAGCAGAATTCACCGATAAAAAAAAAAAAAACCTAATTTAGCTACGTGCTCTCTATTCGCTAACGAAACAGCTCGTGTACAACTTAATTGCTAAAATCGCAGCCCTGCGAGTCACTGACACCAAGGAAGAGAGGCGAATGTCACCAGGTTCACAGCGCTTACATTCTCTCGCCACAGTAGGCCGTGAGCGTGACACCTTCGGCCTTGCCGAACCGAATAACCTGCCGAGCCACATCCTCCGCCATGGCTCGCTCGTACAACAGAGTTCCGTCCGCACTGTAAACCATCAAGCCCTGGAGCGAGGCCATGCGACGATGAAGGTTGGTGAGATGGATTCTGCATAGCTATTGTGAAGTATAAATCACAAGAGTACCGAGATAATCACCTGTAAAAAGACTCCAGGAGTTTCAAGCTTCAGTCGCTCCTTGATTTCAGGAAACCACGGCCCTCTTGCTTTGCCAGTGGCCAAAACGACCTGCACCAAAAAAACGCTTTTACTTAGACGGCCGCTGCTGGAAAGTACAACTGGTGATTAAGCTCCAAAGATCATATGAGAAGATTTAAAAAGGGTAAAACTTGGAATATCAAATTGATGCTAACCTGGATGCCTTGCTCTTGCGCCATCAAAAGCGCTCTTTCGGTCCGTTCACTCAAGGCGTGATTGCTGTTAAGCAGAGTCCCATCCACGTCAGTCGCAATCAGCGCGATTTGTCTCGACGGCAGCCCGCCGTCCTCATCTTGCCGAAATTGTTGTCGTCGGGTCAACCCGGCGTCCGAAACCTGCCTCACCGGGCTTTGCGGTTTCGGCTTGGCTGTCGTTTGCAAGATCTCCAACTGGTATTGCTTCGTGCGCTTGCTGACTGTCCCTGGGACAACGGCGATGGCTCTAGTGCATGATTGCTGGGAATCGCGTGTTTTATGCGGTTGCAGTGCGGAGCTGGAAACCTGAGAGCTCGACCATGCCTGTTGTCGCTGACAACAAGATGACAGATGCCTGCTCGGCGTTCTCGAGGTGATTGGTGAGGCTATGGCTGCCATTGCTGCTGAAGAACGTCAGTTGCGCGGTGATCAAAGCTAATTAAGATTAATCTGCTAAGTCCAAGGAGATCGTTGAGCAGGCAAACGATCTCGAGGATGGAGGAATTATGAGACGAGGGTCAGGAAGTTGTGTGGATTGAAATGGGGAACAAAGATCAAGGTGAACTTTACCTGACCCCTGGGAAACGAGCGAGAAGCCCAGGGGAAAGCAGCGGATCCATCCACAGAGAAGGGAACGGCTGAGATGGGTCGATGGTGGAATCTCGATGAGGGGTTCGGGTGAAGCAAGGCCGATTCCATCCACCAATCAGACCACGAAGGGATGCACTGGAGGGGCAGGCGAAAAGGCAACGCGATTTGAGTGGCTGCTCGTTGCACCAGAGTTCGTGGACACGACGCGACTGTCGGAAATGGTTGATGCGGATTGGGCCCTGGTGCGCTGAGTCAGCGCCGATTCCAAGCGAATGGGTCTTTCGTCAACAAAAAGCTGCCACGTGACCAACCTGGCATGAGTGTTCCTTCTCACCCCCCTTCCTGACCCTGACAGCAACAATAAATGTCAGAAGCAGACAAACCACACAGAAGTGGCTCCCAAATCCATCTGGCGCTGGGGCTACTTTCCCTTTTCGTAAAGCCCTGTCCCTTGAAAAACTGCTACACGCGCTACAAGAACATTCTGGTGTGAGTTGTGGTTCAGTTACATGCAAGAATGGATACAAAACAAAACAGGAGAATGTCTGAACCAGCCAAACCACGGCTTTGCCCTATCATCTCAATCTGGTACATTCATGCTTGTGAGAATGTTCATTTTTTGTGCCAGCAGTTTGGTTAGGCCCAGATTTACGAAAAGCAATAATCTTTACATACTGTCAGTTTGTGAAGCCAATGAGCAGGTATGTGCTGGCATATATACTTTCCTGGTCATGAATGCACTACTCTTTCACTTCTGTCGTCTCTTTGTCCCGACACTTACTCCCCCATCCTCCTTTTTTATCTTAACAGCCCTTTTCACCGTTTCCACCCTTGAAGTAGCCCCACTTTGACTACCCTTGATACTGCCTCCACCACTGCTCTTGTTGCTGCTGCTGCTGCTAGCCTTACCACCAGTAACACCACCACTCGGCTTACTCCTGGAACTCTTCCTCGCTCCCCTTGCCGCCACTGCATCCCCCACCGCCTTCCTGCGCATCACCATTCCACTGCCCCCTGCCAGCTCACCCCGACGTTGCTCTGCCTCTCCTGAGCCTGTTCTCGCACCAGCAGAGACAGCAGCAGAGGAAGCAGCAGAGCCGGGCTGTGCAGGTGCACTGGAGGCAGGCAGCTCTGGGGTGCCTTGGCCCCCCTGGCCTGGCCTGCAGCAGGCCAGTGAGGGGAGACGGTGATTCTGGGCGGCACAGGGGCGTCAGCACGCACTGAGGCACCGGCTGGCAGAGGCTGCACAAACACACGCATGCTGCTGCTGCTGCTGCTGCTGGCGGTGGTGCTGCTGGCGCCGCTGCTGCCAGTGCTGCTAGTGCTATGAGCTGCTGTTGCTGGAAGTGGCGGTGCGAGTGGTGTGGAGGCGGCATGAGGAGGCGGGTATGGAGAAGAAGAGGGGGACGAAGGTCCTGATGGGATGGAGGCGAGATAGGCGGGGATGTTGAAGGCAGGCGCGACGTGCGGGGGAGGGTCGTGCGGGGTGAGAGGTGGGTCGACAGTGGAGCGGCCATTGTGGGAGAGCAGAAAGTAGCCATACGGCAGCGCTGCATCCACCTGGTGATGCAGGTGAGGGGGTAGGGATGGGAATGGGCATGAGCACGGATGGGGGTGGATGCTCGAACTGCCATGAATGCAATAGACCCAAAACTGTGAACCCCAAACCTGTGCAACCATTGACACGGCCCCCACCTCAGGCACGGTGCAGCCCAGGGCATGCCACACGCGAGCACAGGCACTGCCTTGAAAGGACGCCCACGGTCCCAGTCAGCACGTGCACTCCTCTCACGCACCTGTATGTGCAGGGTGACGTGGAGGGCAGCACAGATGACGTGGACGAGCGAGGGAGTGCCATCTGGCAGGGCGGGTCCCATGAGCAGCTGTTCACACGTGGCAGGCGAGGCAGCCAGACCCACCACCACCTCCTCACGCCCACCCTCTCTCCCTTCATCCCCCTCACCCCCACCACTTGCTGCCTCTGCAGCTGCTGCTTGGGCCCTGCGCTCCCGCCGCCTCTCCCTGGCCCCTTTTCCCTGCCTGCCCTGCTTGCTGCCTGCCGCTGCTGCTGACTGAGCCTGCCGTTGGCAAGGGGGGATGGAGGAAGGGTAAAGAGGAAAGGGTGCATGGTTGCCGGAAAGGAAGGGGCACACATGGTGGTGCATGGACGAGGGGAGGAAAGGGGGTGGGATGAGATGCAGATGGATGGTGAGACAAGGCCGGCAAGGACTTCACAGTTCATCACGCAGCCACTCAACCGCCTGCCATCGCTGCACCCCCCAATGTGTCCCCCACACAAGCGCCTCTCCCAGACCTGCACCCCGCACCCGCCCGGGCCAAAGTCACCCCAGAATCAGCAGCAGGTGTGCGCACCAGGCAGCGCTGCAGCGCGCGCTCGAGGCGGGCCAGCATGGCGAGGCGCGACTCCACCCGCCCCGCCGCCCAGCAGCACGTGCACGGCGCCGTGAGCGAGGCGGCAAGGCTTGGACGCATCTGAGGGCAGGTGCAGGTGGGGTGTGGGAAGGGGGAGAGGGGAGATAAGAGCAGGGATGGGGATGGGGATCGGGGTTGGAGGATAGGACAGGCTGCAGTCCATTGGCCAACACACAGCACGTGACAGCACTGTACCACACTGCACCGCACTGGGCCACACAGCACATGGGAGCACCGCACGGCACAGCACTGCACCGGGCTGGAGAGCACTCACGCGCTGGCAGGTGAGTTCGAGCAGGCCGAACTGCGAGATCTCCCCCACTCGCACCTTGGCTGCATGGGGGACCCACGTTGCATTGCATTGACCCACACACCACATGGCACCACTTCACTGTCCAACACACAGCAGCACATGGCAGCACCGCACTGCACCACACCACACCGCATGGCACTCACGCGCTGGCGGGTGAGTTCCAGCAGGCCGAATTGCGAGATCTCCCCCACTCGCACCTTGCGCCGGTCCCCCCCCATCGCCCTCCTCACCTCTTCCTCCACCGCCCTCCGGTGCTCCGCTGGGAAAGGCGGGGGGGAAAGGAACGAAGGGGGGAAAGAGCACAGCAACATCGAGAGGCAATCGCACCAATGCATGTCATTTGAGTCAACGACGTCAAAGAAGTTTGATGAATCAATGGAATTAATGAAGTCAATAGAATCAATAACAGGAACAAGTCAACAGAGTCAAGGGAGTGGCAGTCACCTTTATGCATGTCAATGAAGTCAATCACCACGAGCCCTCCCAGGTCCCTCAGCCTCAGCTCCACTGCAATCTGCCACGGCAAGGGTGGAGCAAGGCAGGGGTGGCATGACAGTGAGGCGCGCAGCAGAGCTGAAGGAGTGCCACGGGTCAACTTCAAGCGCATGTGTACATGCACGTGGTGCAGATGCCCACGTGCGCATGAGCAAGCACGGAGTGCACCCACCTGTCTGGCAGCAGCGAGGTTGACGGCAAGGAAGGTGTCCTCCTGCCGTGCAGTGGGCTGCAGCACGCTCCACCCGCTGTTCACATCTATTGCCACTAGTGCCTCTGTCTCCTCTATCACCAGGGAGCCGCCTCCTGCCAGGGGGACACTGGAGAGGAGTGGCGGTGGCGGACAGAAGAGGGAGGAGGGGAGGCAGGGACTGAGTTCACGTCTATTGCCACTAGTGCCTCTGTCTCCTCTATCACCAGGGAGCCGCCACCTGCCAGGGGGAGGGAGGAACTGAGGGAGGGACTGAGGGAGGGACTGAGGGAGGAACTGAGGGAGGGACTGAGGGAGGAACTGAGGGAGGGACTGAGGGAGGAACTGAGGGAGGAACTGAGGGAGGAACTGAGGGAGGAACTGAGGGAGGAACTGAGGGAGGAACTGAGGGAGGAACTGAGGGAGGAACTGAGGGAGGAACTGAGGGAGGAACTGAGGGAGGAACTGAGGGAGGAACTGAGGGAGGAACTGAGGGAGGAACTGAGGGAGGGACTGAGGGAGGGACTGAGGGAGGGACTGAGGGAGGAACTGAGGGAGGAACTGAGGGAGGAACTGAGGGAGGAACTGAGGGAGGGACTGAGGGAGGGACTGAGGGAGGAACTGAGGGAGGAACTGAGGGAGGAACTGAGGGAGGAACTGAGGGAGGAACTGAGGGAGGGACTGAGGGAGGGACTGAGGGAGGAACTGAGGGAGGAACTGAGGGAGGAACTGAGGGAGGAACTGAGGGAGGAACTGAGGGAGGAACTGAGGGAGGAACTGAGGGAGGAACTGAGGGAGGAACTGAGGGAGGAACTGAGGGAGGAACTGAGGGAGGAACTGAGGGAGGAACTGAGGGAGGAACTGAGGGAGGAACTGAGGGAGGAACTGAGGGAGGAACTGAGGGAGGAACTGAGGGCACACCAGCGGAACGGGGCATACCAGCGGTGCAGCGCGGATAGCAGCGCCGGCTCGATGTGGGCGGTGTCAAAGATGGGCGCTGGGCCTGCATGCAACTGCACCCTCCCACACAGCGCCGGCTGCATGCGCTGTAGATACGCCTCCAACTGCACACAGGGGGGAGGGGGGAAGGGGTGAATTCGCAGGAGTCCATGTTCAGGTGTCCGAAGGATGGGCGATGGGCACCCACACAGCGCCGGCTGCATGCGGCACAACTGCTATGAATGAGGCACACACAAGCACACATGGGTGAGGGGAGTAACAGGGGGAAACGGCAGGAGTCCATCTCTAGGTGTCAGAAATAAGGGAGATGGGTCTGTGTGAAACTGCACCCGACCACACAGCGCCGGCTGCATGCACTCTAGATACGCCACGGGGGGAGGGGGGGAGGTGGGGGGGGGAAATGACAGGAGTCCATACCTTTAGGTGTCGGAATGATGGGTGCCGGGGCCCATCGTTTTGGGAACCTGATGGGTAACCTGATGGCGAACCTGATGGGGACGAACCTGATGGGGACGAACCTGATGGGGACGAACCTGATGGGGACGAACCTGATGGGGACGAACCTGATGGGGACGAACCTGATGGGGACGAACCTGATGGGGACGAACCTGATGGGGACGAACCTGATGGGGACGAACCTGATGGGGACGAACCAACTGGGGACGAACCTGATGGGGACGAACCTGATGGGGACGAACCTGATGGGGACGAACCTGATGGGGACGAACCTGATGGGGACGAACCTGATGGGGACGAACCTGATGGGGACGAACCTGATGGGGACGAACCTGATGGGGACGAACCTGATGGGGACGAACCTGATGGGGACGAACCTGATGGGGACGAACCTGATGGGGACGAACCTGATGGGGACGAACCTGATGGGGACGAACCTGATGGGGACGAACCTGATGGGGACGAACCAACTGGGGACGAACCTGATGGGGACGAACCTGATGGGGACGAACCAACTGGGGACGAACCTGATGGGGACGAACCTGATGGGGACGAACCTGATGGGGACGAACCTGATGGGGACGAACCTGATGGGGACGAACCTGATGGGGACGAACCTGATGGGGACGAACCTGATGGGGACGAACCTGATGGGGACGAACCTGATGGGGACGAACCTGATGGGGACGAACCAACTGGGGACGAACCTGATGGGGACGAACCTGATGGGGACGAACCTGATGGGGACGAACCTGATGGGGACGAACCTGATGGGGACGAACCTGATGGGGACGAACCTGATGGGGACGAACCTGATGGGGACGAACCTGATGGGGACGAACCTGATGGGGACGAACCTGATGGGGACGAACCTGATGGGGACGAACCTGATGGGGACGAACCAACTGGGGACGAACCTGATGGGGACGAACCTGATGGGGACGAACCTGATGGGGACGAACCTGATGGGGACGAACCTGATGGGGACGAACCTGATGGGGACGAACCTGATGGGGACGAACCTGATGGGGACGAACCTGATGGGGACGAACCTGATGGGGAGAGGGGATGGAATGATGGAGAAGGGGATGGAATGAGGGAGAAGGGGATGGAATGAGGGAGAGGGGGATGGGATGAGGGGGAGGGCGTACCTCGTGCAGAAAGGCAGGTGAGTCGACCACGAGGCGCGACACCTGTGGTGCGGTGGGGAGGTTGGGATCACAAGAGAGGTTGGGAGGAAGGAGGTTGAATGTGGATCATGGAAAAGAGAGGGGTGGTAGATGAGGAGAGAGGCAAAGAGGCGTGGGATGATGCAGCGGTGGAGTGGGATGATGCAGCAATGGGAGTGGGATGATGCAGCAGTGGGAGTGGGATGATGCAGCAGCTCTATCTCTGCCGGTTGACGCTCTATGTGTGAGTCAACTCTCTATCTCTGCCGGTTGACGCTCTATGTGTGAGTCGACGCTCTATCTCTGCCGGTTGACGCTCTATGTGTGAGTCGACGCTCTATCTCTGCCGGTTGACGCTCTATGTGTGAGTCGACGCTCTATCTCTGCCGGTTGACGCTCTATGTGTGAGTCGACGCTCTATCTCTGCCGGTTGACGCTCTATGTGTGAGTCGACGCTCTATCTCTGCCGGTTGACGCTCTATGTGTGAGTCGACGCTCTATCTCTGCCGGTTGACGCTCTATGTGTGAGTCGACGCTCTATCTCTGCCGGTTGACGCTCTATGTGTGAGTCGACGCTCTATCTCTGCCGGTTGACGCTCTATGTGTGAGTCGACGCTCTATCTCTGCCGGTTGACGCTCTATGTGTGAGTCGACGCTCTATCTCTGCCGGTTGACGCTCTATGTGTGAGTCGACGCTCTATCTCTGCCGGTTGACGCTCTATGTGTGAGTCGACGCTCTATCTCTGCCGGTTGACGCTCTATGTGTGAGTCGACGCTCTATCTCTGCCGGTTGACGCTCTATGTGTGAGTCGACGCTCTATCTCTGCCGGTTGACGCTCTATGTGTGAGTCGACGCTCTATCTCTGCCGGTTGACGCTCTATGTGTGAGTCGACGCTCTATCTCTGCCGGTTGACGCTCTATGTGTGAGTCGACGCTCTATCTCTGCCGGTTGACGCTCTATGTGTGAGTCGACGCTCTATCTCTGCCGGTTGACGCTCTATGTGTGAGTCGACGCTCTATCTCTGCCGGTTGACGCTCTATGTGTGAGTCGACGCTCTATCTCTGCCGGTTGACGCTCTATGTGTGAGTCGACGCTCTATCTCTGCCGGTTGACGCTCTATGTGTGAGTCGACGCTCTATCTCTGCCGGTTGACGCTCTATGTGTGAGTCGACGCTCTATCTCTGCCGGTTGACGCTCTATGTGTGAGTCGACGCTCTATCTCTGCCGGTTGACGCTCTATGTGTGAGTCGACGCTCTATCTCTGCCGGTTGACGCTCTATGTGTGAGTCGACGCTCTATCTCTGCCGGTTGACGCTCTATGTGTGAGTCGACGCTCTATCTCTGCCGGTTGACGCTCTATGTGTGAGTCGACGCTCTATCTCTGCCGGTTGACGCTCTATGTGTGAGTCGACGCTCTATCTCTGCCGGTTGACGCTCTATGTGTGAGTCGACGCTCTATCTCTGCCGGTTGACGCTCTATGTGTGAGTCGACGCTCTATCTCTGCCGGTTGACGCTCTATGTGTGAGTCGACGCTCTATCTCTGCCGGTTGACGCTCTATGTGTGAGTCGACGCTCTATCTCTGCCGGTTGACGCTCTATGTGTGAGTCGACGCTCTCTCTCCGCCGGTTGACGCTCTATGTGTGAGTCGACGCTCTATCTCTGCCGGTTGACGCTCTATGTGTGAGTCGACGCTCTATCTCTGCCGGTTGACGCTCTATGTGTGAGTCGACGCTCTATCTCTGCCGGTTGACGCTCTATGTGTGAGTCGACGCTCTATCTCTGCCGGTTGACGCTCTATGTGTGAGTCGACGCTCTATCTCTGCCGGTTGACGCTCTATGTGTGAGTCGACGCTCTATCTCTGCCGGTTGACGCTCTATGTGTGAGTCGACGCTCTATCTCTGCCGGTTGACGCTCTATGTGTGAGTCGACGCTCTATCTCTGCCGGTTGACGCTCTATGTGTGAGTCGACGCTCTATCTCTGCCGGTTGACGCTCTATGTGTGAGTCGACGCTCTATCTCTGCCGGTTGACGCTCTATGTGTGAGTCGACGCTCTATCTCTGCCGGTTGACGCTCTATGTGTGAGTCGACGCTCTATCTCTGCCGGTTGACGCTCTATGTGTGAGTCGACGCTCTATCTCTGCCGGTTGACGCTCTATGTGTGAGTCGACGCTCTATCTCTGCCGGTTGACGCTCTATGTGTGAGTCGACGCTCTATCTCTGCCGGTTGACGCTCTATGTGTGAGTCGACGCTCTATCTCTGCCGGTTGACGCTCTATGTGTGAGTCGACGCTCTATCTCTGCCGGTTGACGCTCTATGTGTGAGTCGACGCTCTATCTCTGCCGGTTGACGCTCTATGTGTGAGTCGACGCTCTATCTCTGCCGGTTGACGCTCTATGTGTGAGTCGACGCTCTATCTCTGCCGGTTGACGCTCTATGTGTGAGTCGACGCTCTATCTCTGCCGGTTGACGCTCTATGTGTGAGTCGACGCTCTATCTCTGCCGGTTGACGCTCTATGTGTGAGTCGACGCTCTATCTCTGCCGGTTGACGCTCTATGTGTGAGTCGACGCTCTATCTCTGCCGGTTGACGCTCTATGTGTGAGTCGACGCTCTATCTCTGCCGGGCTCTATTTATGAGTCGACGCTCTATCTCTGCCGGTTGACGCTCTATGTGTGAGTCGACGCTCTATCTCTGCCGGTTGACGCTCTATGTGTGAGTCGACGCTCTATCTCTGCCGGTTGACGCTCTATGTGTGAGTCGACGCTCAACCTCTGCCGGTTGACGCTCCATGTGTGAGTCGACGCTCTACGTCTGCCGGTTGACGCTCTATGTGTGAGTCGACGCTCTATCTCTGCCGGTTGACGCTCTATGTGTGAGTCGACGCTCTATCTCTGCCGGTTGACGGTCAATGTGTGAGTCGACGCTCTATCTCTGCCGGTTGACGCTCTATGTGTGAGTCGACGCTCTATCTCTGCCGGTTGACGCTCTATGTGTGAGTCGACGCTCTATCTCTGCCGGTTGACGCTCTATGTGTGAGTCGACGCTCTATCTCTGCCGGTTGACGCTCTATGTGTGAGTCGACGCTCTATCTCTGCCGGTTGACGCTCTATGTGTGAGTCGACGCTCTATCTCTGCCGGTTGACGCTCTATGTGTGAGTCGACGCTCTATCTCTGCCGGTTGACGCTCTATGTGTGAGTCGACGCTCTATCTCTGCCGGTTGACGCTCTATGTGTGAGTCGACGCTCTATCTCTGCCGGTTGACGCTCTATGTGTGAGTCGACGCTCTATCTCTGCCGGTTGACGCTCTATGTGTGAGTCGACGCTCTATCTCTGCCGGTTGACGCTCTATGTGTGAGTCGACGCTCTATCTCTGCCGGTTGACGCTCTATGTGTGAGTCGACGCTCTATCTCTGCCGGTTGACGCTCTATGTGTGAGTCGACGCTCTATCTCTGCCGGTTGACGCTCTATGTGTGAGTCGACGCTCTATCTCTGCCGGTTGACGCTCTATGTGTGAGTCGACGCTCTATCTCTGCCGGTTGACGCTCTATGTGTGAGTCGACGCTCTATCTCTGCCGGTTGACGCTCTATGTGTGAGTCGACGCTCTATCTC